GACTCCCCTCTCCAGCCACTGATTTCTTCTCAAGAGCAGAGAGAGTCTGTGGGGTCACCATGAGTTCTAAGCATATTACTGGGCATAGCAGCCCCCACTCCACCCTTTCCCAAGCCTCCTGTTACTTGTGGTACCACCTGGACTGTAGGAGAGGGAGGCTCAGTATTGGCCATGACTGGGCTGGATTAGAAGGCAAGGAAAAGGGAAGAAACCAGGTCTGCACTGCCCACCGAGCTCCATCACCAAGCTCCATCAGGCCTGATCAGGTCTCAGAACGCTTGTCCTGCCAGAATTCCAATTATCAGCAAGGGCAACAGGTAGAAGCAGAAAAGCACAGGGGATGGCACGGAGTCCCTTGACTAGTCTGTGATCCAGGTGACCCTAGGCACTGTTAGCTGAGCTAAACCTGCTAAGGAGGGGGAGCACACTGATGGGCTGTGCATCCAGCCGGTAGGAACTGTACTGTGACTCTGAGGGACATCCCTCCAGGACCACGGAGAGGAAGAAGAAGCTAGCCAATGGGAACCCTACCCTTAGCAGTTTAGCCTCTTATAAGGGGGGGAGGAGGGACTTTGCTAATGTGGGTTGGTCAGGCGGGAGGGAGGATGTCCTCTTCTGTGTCCCTCAGGAGGCACTAACCCCTAGGCCCACCATTGCCCTGCATTCCCTCTCCAGGTTACCTCGGCTATGAGTCAAGACTCATAATCTCTGTTGCCTGGTCCCTAAAATGAATGATTGCAAAGTAATCACAAGCGGGGACTTTTATTCTTGCTTCTTAAAGTAACAGAGGACCGGGCAGCTAAGGCACCAAGGGGCGGCAATATTTTAAGGTAGCCTCTGGGTCAGAGGGGCCCAGAGACACTGAGTCAGTCCAGATAGAGACTGTTCTCCCTTATAACTGGGGTGGAGGCGGGGGAGGGGGTAGGGGGGTGGATAAATGGTAGGAAATGCACCCCTCCCAGTTTAAGCAGCCAGGATTTCCAAAGAGCAGTCCCAGCAGGGGTGTTTGCTGCCCACTCTGAGCTTAGGATTTAATATCACTGGGGGAAAAAGAGTAGCAGCCCAGGTCATTCACCAGTCATTGGGATGCCTGCTATTCCCATCACAGCCTCGAAAGTGAGGTTGTGAGCACAGTTAAATCGGGAATCTCCTCCTGGCCAAACTTCTGCAATCTAAAACCCAATCCTTGCATTTTCACAATGACCTGCCCTGTTCACCCCATGCTCCCAGAGGCTAAAGAAGTGAGAATTCAGAGGCCCTGCAAATTGAAGTTTCTCTAAGCCATCTTTAAATATTGGGAGCTGCAGTCCTCCTGCCAGCTCTTCCTTCTTAAAGGAGGACCAAGTCAGAGGGGGGACTAGGGCACTTGATCTGGAGACGGTCACATAGACATTCCATTTTCTCTACACCCTTTTTTTGCTCCAGAGTCACCCCAATCCCATTCCACACACCCCAAGTCTGTTTGGGTTCACATGGGCTTGAGAGGAGTGGTTAGATACCTGGGAATGGATTAAAACTCACAGGTTAAAGTCAGATTAAAACTCAAATCTAAAATGCTCCTAGAAAACCCCCTGCTGGAGCTCCTGCTTCCTACCCAGCCCTCCGGACCCCAAAGCTCCTGGTGGCTCTGGCCAGCAACCGAGGTTGCTTTCCAATTTCTTTGGCTTCAGATACCTAGAACAGAAGGGGTGGGAGGGCAGGGCACTCCACCTCACCTGTCCATACTAGCTGAAAAGTAGGCCCCCCCCACCAATACCCCAGCCAGCTAGAGGGAGCAGCCACTGGCCGACTGTGAGGTGTAGAATGAGGTAGAGAAACCTGTGACGACTAGAGTCTCAGCAACTGGCCCAACCTGCACACTAAAGCTTTGTGTGTGGGTGGGGGGAAGGAGGCCAGGGAAGGGGTGATTGCTTGGCTAGCATAGGGTCAGAACCTCCACCGGAGGCCAAATTTCATCTTGAAGTGCGTGGCAGGGCCACAGTTTAGGCTTGATGGGACGGAACAGAGAGGCGAGGGCCTGGCAGCCTCTCCCAGCATGGAGGTCCCTGCTCACCCTCAGCTGATTCAGACAAATAGAGAGGAATTCTACTGGTTGTGGGGGCTTGGTATGGAAAGCTTGACTCAAGAAAACTTTTCTACAGACAAGCACCCCATCCACACCACAGGAAGAATCAGCAAGGTGAAGCGCCTCACTTGGCTGTGCTATATGGAGGAGAATGGCAAACTTTAGGTGGTTTTACCCACCAAGTACTGAAACAGCCAGTAGACTCTCTCATGTCTGAGTCTGCCTTTCTTTATGCCTCTGGAGGTCTGTGTTTGTTTCATATGTGTGTGCGTGCCAGTGCAGCTAAGAGGGTGTTTTACACACACACACACACACACACACACACACGCGCACACACACACACACACACACACACACACACACACACACTGTCTCCAGCAAGATGCCCCGCTGGTCACCGTCCCTGTCCCTTGGCAAGCACAGCCTGAGCTCCCGTAACCTTGCTTACAGGTTCCTGGCTCAGAGTGCTGTTGCATCGTTGTCTGCAGAGCCGAGTGTTATTACTGCTTTCAGGAAAGCGGGAGTCGACAGTGGCTGTGTCGCTGCGCCTCTGCTCCGAGTTCCTGGGCGCCCGCTTTGCCCATGCCCTGGCCCTTTGTGCGCCTGCCCCGAGGGCCAGGTCTTCTCTTCCTCGCCTGAGAAATCTCAGTTCTGGCTCAAGAATTTCTGGCTTCGCCACGCGTTTGCTAACATCCAGCTCCAGTGGGAAGAATCCTATACAGGACCCAGCAGTCCCAGATCAAGCCCCTAGTCCAAAATGCGCTTTTGCTCCCTGCTCACCTCCCCACCCCCACCCCCAGTAGAGCACCTTTGTCCTGTGGCTTCTGTTCTTCCAAATGAACTTTAAACTTCTCTGGGGCTTAATACTCTGCTCCTAATGAAAATGTGGGAAAACTCTACTACCTAGGTAAAACATCGCTAAGGTTTTACCAGAAAAATGTTCAGTAGTGAAAATGGGAAATAGCTGAGGAAGGGGTGCTCCTGCAAGCTCTCCAAGATTACATTCCTACTCCCACCCCCATGTGCTGAGTGCCCAGCTCCCCAGTTCTGGCTCTGATGCACCCTCTGCTCTGATGGAATCTGGCCAGATGAGCGGGATAAAATCTGAAATCACGTCCCCACTGTCCCCAGGCACGATTTGCAATTTGGAAAACCTGGGTGAGAGTGGGAAAATGTGGAAGGGGTTTGGGGGCTGTGGCACCTTCTAGGATTCTGGGGAGCTGCAGTGACTGGGGTTCAACCCTGCCCTTCTCACTCCCCAGTATGGCTTTCAACTAGGTACAAATGCTGCCACATCTTCTCACTGCTACAACTGAATCTAAGCATCTCAAAATCCCTTGACGTGTCCTGGTTTCAGAATCAATATTTGGGTTGTCAGAAGAAACTAATCTCAGCAAGGAAGGTAGAACTGGGGTACAAAGTGGTCCAAATCCTGCAATTCTGGTAACAGTCTGTGGAAGGCTTGGAGGAACCAGCCCAGACTAGGTCTGGAACCCCAGGCAGGTCAAGAGATCACTGTCACCCCAAAACATGAAGCATTGAGCAATAACAGTTGGCTCATGTTCCCTTTAACTTGAGGTGTCTGGGGTACTCTACATTTTTCTCTTCTTGATTGTGCCCTGGAACACCCAGGTTGTTCCCTCTCACGTCTGCATTGTGCTCATTCCTCTAAGGATTCATCTTGATTGGGGGAGGGAGTGCTGAGAGTGGGCTGGGGCAGGCTGCACCCCTGGGTTGAACTGGGATTTGTCCAGGCATCATATTGGCCCAGGTTATTGAAGGTTGGGAAGCTTAGGTGGGGGCCTCCATTGGTTCAAGTGGGCCCTGCAGAGAATGGGCTTTAATGTGCTCACACCAATGCACCAAAGTGCAGAAGCAGCTAGGTAAGACTGGGTAGCTGCTAGGGGCCTTCTCATTGCAGCAGGCTTGGGTACACCGTGGGCCCGAGGACCTCAGCACCTCCACCCCTTTCAAGTGTCCTTTAAGGGAGAATGGGCTCCTTCGCATAGATATTGGGCCTATAAAAGGCCTTGTGCCCTTGGCATAGTTCAGCGTCAAATAGACTGGAGTGATTAGATTGGTCAGGAATGTCTATTTGTTTTAAAATCACCAAAACCATTTTTGTTTTGTTTCTTTGTTTTGTTTTGTTTACCGATTCCTGATATATTGTAGGTTTGAAAGGAGGGCCTCAGGAGACAGATCTTGGAGAGAGATTTGATTCTTCAGCCTTTTTATAAAAACTCCAATGGCCCATCCCAGAACACTGAAGACAAAAATAGGTTTGCTATATTGCAGCTGCAGTGGGATGGAGAAACTGCTTCTCCACTGTCTGCTGTGGCATAGGGGAAAAGAATTCCAGCAGGCAACTTCAGTGACCCAATTGCCAAGCAGGACTACGGGTGTCTGGAATGAGGGATGGAGGGGGCCAAAGAAGGGTAGTTTCTCCATTCGACATGGGACAAATGTGAGCCAAGAGGTCCACGTTCTGGCTTGGGTTTAGTGTAGCCTTCAATAAGTCACCTCCCTGCCATGCAATTGTTTGGGGCATCTTTAAAATCATTGCAGTGCAGGTTTGCAGCCCTAACCATTGTGATCTGCCCGTCCTTAACCTTTGGGATGTCCACTACACCTGCCCATTCCTCTTACCCCACCCCCCAGCTAGTGGCATTTTCACTGGAATTCTCTCTACAGAGGCTAGATTGGCCCAGCCAGTTATAAACACCTTCCCGCGCCCCCCAAACTCTGCCAACTCAAGCCTCCTTTACTTGGGGACGGGAAGGCATCTTCAGAGAATCTAAGGTCACTGAGCTCTGCCTGCGGCCACACTCAGGGTGGCAGAGCAGTTTTCAATAGCAGTTGGTGAGGCCAGGAGACCTGAGCCGCTAACCCGTTCTGCCCTGAAGTGGCTCTGAGGTTGCAACACTTTCCTCAAAATCTCTAGCCCGGATACCTGCAAGAAGGGATGGAAAATCCCTGGCCCTGGCCACAGCAAGCCAGGCGGTCTTTACAAATCGTAGTAAACGTTTTATTTACAAGTAGAGGCGTCCTAAATGCAGCGCCAGGGCCCCCCGGTGCGGGGGGAACAGTTTTGTCCAGCACTTCACAGTGTGAGTGGCTCGTGTCCGGGGAGAAGTGTTCGCTGGAGTTGAGAGCCGGGGGCGCGGCAATGAAACCCCTCTGCTCTCTGCAGTGTGGGCTGCACACGAGGGGCGGCAGGGGCGAGGCGTGAACGTGGAGAAAGAGGCTCCGGCTGACTCCGGCACCACCGACCGAACATTGGCACAAAATGCAACCCTCGCGGGCCCGCTGGCGATCTGCGCCCGGGGTCCCTCCACCGTCGTCAAGTCTATAGGCCGCCCAGTGGAGCCTGGGCAGGCTCGGGACTTTTGGGGGCGCTGCTGAGGGTGGGCTGGGGCGCAGGGAGCAGCTCGGCCGCGCTGCTGCTGCTGCCACCGCCGCTGCCCAGGCTGCTGCTGCTCCCCGCGCCGCTACTGCTGCTCCCCGCGCCGCTACTGCAGGTCCCCAGGCTCCCGAAGCCGAAAGTGCCGCAGCTGCCGCTCCCTCCACTTGCCCCGCTGCTGGCGGGGAGCGGGGCGCCCGCGGCCGAGGCCTTGATGACCGTGGTTTGGTGCAGAGACCGCTCAGCGCCCTCAGTCCTTTCTGTGTCGCTGGGGGCCATGTCCAGGGACTCGGAGTCGCTGCTCCCGCTCTCCACCTCGCCCTCCGAGCGGCTGGGGCTGCGCTCCTCCGGCTCGCCGTCGCCAGCCGCGCCTCCGCCCGACGGCTTCTCGCCCGCCTCCTTGTCTTTGTCTTTCTGGGCCTGGGCCTCCTTGGAGTGCCGCCACTTCATCCGCCGGTTCTGGAACCACACCTTCACCTGTGCCGAAGCCAGGGAGACAAGCGAGGACACCGAGGTAAGGCACTGGCTCGCTCCAAGCCGAAGGCACGAAGGCACCGAAGCGCCCCCCTAGCAAGCACCTCCTGCAGCGGGTGTGCTGGAAGCAGGGGCTGAGGGGGTGCCTGAAGAAACTACCAGATCACTGGGGACCCTGAACTACGGAACCCACTTCTCAGAGTGTAGCCAGACAGCCTCAAGCCAGAAATGGCCTGGATGCTATTGGAAAGACAGGTTCCTGGACCTGGACCCCCAAACTAAGGAGGATCTCTACTCCCCATCATGCTTAACCCCACTTGAATCAGGACCCCCTAAGAATCTGATTAAAATTATGGACCCCTAGCCCAGAAATAGGCACATATACTCAAGCGTTTGGGGAACCAATGTTAAGAATGTTTCCTAAGGGTGGGAGGGATTGGGTAGAGGGAGTCTGTTTGAGAGTGAAATGGCACTAGAAAGTTTATGGTTGAGTATGCTGAGGCATGTGCACATATTGGGGTATGAAGCTGTACTCCCAAAATTTATATTGTATTGTAAACTAATGGCAAATCCATTAAAAATCATTTAAAATATATATTAAAAAGATTTCCTGCTAAATTGGCGGCCTCCTAGGCTGCCATTATCCAAGACAAGTCCCTACAAAAGTTATTCTTTTTAAGGAGGAACCTTGGAAAGCTGAGGGGGACAGGAGGCTCAAGGAGTTAATCCCAGTGGTGAGGATGTGGCTGGGCCTTCGGTAAAACAGTGAAACAGTACTTCCCAGGCTTGTGCATACTCAGAAGCTGATAAGCACCCAACCCCTGCCCCTGTCAAGAAATCTTTCTTGTGGGTTCAGAAAATGCTGGAACTAGACCTGTCCACAGTGCAGGAAGGGGATGAAGATGGGGCAGCAGAAAATCTATATAAATCTATATGAGCCCCTGGAGAACCCAATGGGTTCACACAAGTTCCAGCTTCCCTTTTAAAAATAACTTCCACAGCTGGTGGAAAACGGCTGGGCGCTTCCAGCGTGTGCTGGGGAGGGGAGTTGTGTAATGGAGGACAGAAAGACAGAGACAGAAAAGGGGGGAACCTGAGGGAGCTATGAAAAAGCACCCGCCTCTGGCTTCTGCCCTGCTTAGAACATTCCGCACTCAGGGGGCAAAGGCCACTGCTGTGGGGTGTGGAAGAGAGGGAACTCTTCTGCTTTCAAAAATCACAAGAAAAAAGATACACCCGTTCTTGAATATGAAAAAAAAAGGGGGTGGTGGTGGATGAATTCAGGAACAATAAATTTGCTCTTGTCTAGAAAAATGTCAAGTCGGCAGATCCTATTGGAATGCTCTTTCTAAGAAAATCTTTTTCCCTTTCTCTCCCAGAGATGTTCCTCAGGGTTTATGCCGATAAAAAATCCAACTGGCTCAGGCCGCTCCAAGCGGACTCCTTGCCTTACAGGGGCTAAGTAATTCCGTTTCAAATGATGTTCTCACTTCCTCGCAACTGGGGTTTCACAATCCAGCAGCAGCAGGAGGAGGGAGGAGGTGGGGGGGGTGGAAATAAAAACCAACAACAATCTCTTGACTTTGGATTTTTAGCTCTTCTGAAATAAACTGCCTCCTACAGCGAATTGTACTACAGTCGAGTACATAATTATTATCTCCCGCGGCCTATTTACTTTCTCGGGCGGCTCTTTGGCCTATTGGCCAAAATAAACACCCACTGCTTGTTGACATACATCTTAGGGGATGGGCTATTTTCTTTCCATCCTTCTCCCCCACGACCTCCTCAGCCTAAAGAGCTCCTACAAGTCAAGATCTAGTGTGTCCTCTGGAACAAGGGGAGTGGGCTGGGTGGAGGTGTGTGGGGGCCTGAGCGCCTGAGGCTGCTTACCTGTGCATCAGTGAGGCCCAGCATTGCTGCCAGCTGCTTTCGGTCTGGCTTGGTCACATACTTCTGAATCTCAAACCTTTTCTCCAGGCCCTTCCTTTGCAGGTTGGAGAAGACTGCCCGTGACCAGGAGCGCTTCCTTTTGTAGGTCTGTGGCATGGTGTCCTTTGTGAGTACAGCATAGGGACCTGTCCGGGGCAGGAGCGGGAGCAAGAGAGGGCCAGCAGGGCCGTGGTCAGCGCCCAGTGCCGGAAGGCGGCCTGCAGGACTCTCAGCACTGAGACTTCAAACGCTCTGGTATTACTATTCAGAAAGCCCTTCAGGCAGACATGGACTGACCCTTCTAAGGAGGAATTTTCTCAAGATGGTAGGCCGAAGGCCTCAGTCAGTGTGGAGAGGAGAACCCAGCAGGGTGTGGAAAAATATAAACTTCATGCATGGCCATCAAGCATGCAAAAAGAAGACGAAAATGCCAGGTCTGTCCCATTTAGATGGCAGCCCATTCTCTACTGTATGTGGGTGTGCATGCGTGTGCGCACATGTACACGCACTCACATACATGCCCACTGGGGCAAAGGAGCCTCATCAGGCAAAGGTGTCAGAGGTCATCCCAAAATGTGTGTATCTTGATAAGCAATCCTTCTTACTGCTATATTTTCAAGCTATCCTTTCCCAAAATACTAAAGCCCCCCACCCACCCCAGCTCTGGCGCACTTTTAGCCTCCCCCGGCCCTCCTATCCCCACCCTTTGGGAGCCCTCAGAAGGTGAGTTGGCTCCCTGAGAAATCTTTCAGTTTCTCCCTCGGGGCTTGGTGACCTCCTTCCCACACCAACTCCAGGATTGCCACACCTCGGTGGCCACGTGAGACATCAGTCCTAAGCTTTTGGTCAGTCACTGGTCAGTCAGGAGGGTTCCCGTACCTGGAAATGTGTCTTGAAACTGATGCTGAACTGAATTTCTTGGGTTGGAGCTTAATGGACTCAGGATGGCAGAAGCCTCGTTAATAGGATCTAGAGATGCGAAGAACTGGCCGGTGGAGGGCTGTAGGCCTGGGAGGTGAACCCCTGTGGGCCGCCCGCCTGTTAGCAGCGATGTGAGATCTGGGGACAAGGGGGAAGAGCTTGTTACACCTTGAGCAAACCCACACTTCAGAGCTGAATTGTTTCCCCCTCTCTGTGGCCCTCCCTTTGATTTCCCTGTTGCAGAATCTTGAGACCCCTGTCTCTGCACCCGCATAAACCCCTCTCTCTTGATAGCAGCCACCCTGCTCCCTGTGTGTCCCGCATGTCCACGTCCACACAGATCCCAAGGAAGGGACTTACATAAAATGGCCAAAGGAAATCGCTTTCAGGTGCCTCCCAAAATTCCATCCCTGAACCCCACTCCTAAAGGAGCCCCCATTCAGCTCTCTCCTCTTAAGAATTTTAAATCAATTTTGTTTATTCGCGCTCTTCGGTTGGAATTTCACTAGAAATCAGATCCACAGAAGGAAAAGTGTCCCCTGAAAGTTTTCCCTATCAGATAATATGCAAAGACACGCAAAAAACTGGCCGCCAATAGTCATTTGGGCAAATATTTACACCAACCAGTTTTATGAACCCTGATTCCGTGTCATCTTTCTTTTAAACTATCTCTGGACTTTTTCTTTTTTTAATTTTTACGTAGAGCAGGTGAGTTTTAAACCTAACCCGTAACCGTCTTCTTATAATTATGTTCTTTCTTCTCCCACATTTTACCGATTTGTCCTCAGTTGCCAAAACACTCAAGGGCACCCCAAACTGGCCAGGGACTGGGGAGTGCGTCAGGGCCGAGGTCGGAGAGGCCAGCGGGCTCTCTCCCAAAACCTACCTCTCAGCGTGTTGCCTTCTTTGACTTTGGGGTCAAATTCTGCAGACAAAATGCGGTCAATTCCAAATTTGAGATCCTTGCTGGAGGGGGCCGGGGCCGATCCGCTGTGGTGGGCGTTCGGAACCACCCGCACCCCGGCGGCCAGGGGTTGCAGGGAGCCGGCTCGGGGCGCAGGAGGAGGCTGTTGGGCCGGCGGTGGCTGTTGTGGCGGCTGTTGCTGCTGTGGGTGATGGTGGTGGTAGGCAGCTGAGAGCGGAGACAGCCGCTGCGGGAAGCCAGCCGGGACTTCGGAGGGCGCCACCACCGGGGTGGGTCGGAGCGGAGATCTGGCGGCAGCTTGGAAAGAAGCGTGCGGGTGAGCGGAGCTCAAGTGCGCGGTGAGGGCGGCGGCCGAGGTCCCCGCCAGGCCCTCCGGGGCCGCTCCCGGCTCCCCCACGCCGGCGTGCAGGATGTCCGCGATGCAAAAGGAGGGTTTCTTCACCGCCGCGGGGTCCAGCGGAAAGGAGCAGCCGCCCGGGCCGGCCGAGGAGCAGTAAGCGGCCGACCAGAGGCTGAAGTTGGAGGCGTAGAAGGGAGCCAGCCCCGCGGCGAACATCCTGGCCGGGTGCGCCTTGCGGCCGCCGCGGCCTGGCCGGACCAAGGAGCGGGGTGGCTGGGTGGGCGCTCGTGGAGGGGCGCGCGGAGTCCCGGAGGAGGCGGCCGCCCAGCCCAGGACGATCCGCTTTCGCTTCTCAGTTCGCACTGAAGACAGACCCGGGAGCCCAGGCGCCCCGGGCGAGGAGGCGAGGACCCGACCCCGCCGATCGCAGCGCGGGCCCTGAGCCCACGTCCCGGCGGCGCGGCGCCCGGCTGCCCGCAGGCTGGAGGCGCGGTAGGGGCGCGGGGGCGCAGGAGCTCAGGGCGCGAGGCGGGCGGGGGCCGCGGCTCGGCGCTCGCGGGGCAGCCGGGGAGGCAGGGGCCGGCACCGAAAGAAAAACCCAAACAGCGAAGCCCTGAGAGCTAAATTTAAAACAACAACAATAATAATCCGTTACTTGGGGAAAAAAAAAAAAAAAAGGTAATAAGAAAAAAAAAAAGTCCTCTCTAAAAACTCCCAAAGTTTTGGCAGGAGCTTTCGAGTCAGACCCGGGGTAGGACCTCGATCCGGGCGCTCATTGGCCATCCTCGTGACCAATGGGAGCCCCAAGTGCAAGGGAATTGGGAAAGTGGGGCGTAGCCCGCCCCCCGCCACGCCCCTCGGCCACGCCCCAGCCACGCCAAAGTGTTTGCTGCTGCCGCGTGGGCTGAGCCGGTCAGGCGCTTCTTTCTCTGCAGCGTAGGGAATTTTGAGCCTCTACGAACTTCTGCTGCTGCGAACCATCCCCGGCCGTGGAGAGCTGAAACACAGCGCCCGTGTCCCGCGCGCGAGTGGGACCTGGTGCACCCCGATTGATGGCGGGTGCCAAGTGCGCTTCTTGGAGTGCGCTGGCGGCACCCCCTCCCGCCCCAGCTGCCCCTCTAAGCCTCTGTCGGGCCGGATTTTCCTTCTCTCGGCCTTGATCCGGGGAGTCGGTGTCTTCTGCAAAGCTTCACTTTTCGTGGGGCCCGCCCGCATTCTGCCGGGCCCGGATCTCCGGCACCGGAACACGGTGGCCCTGCGCCCTTCTCCAACTTAGCACCACGAACGCCTCTGCCTGGGAGATCCTCAGGGAAGCGACGCGGGACGTTCGCAAATTACCCTTATTCAGAGCTGTCACAGTGACAACTTAAAGGAGTAACTTTTCAAACAAAATAAGATGGATGTCTCAGACTGTCTCCCTTTAAACGCAGCCAAACCTCCCTTTCCCTCCCCCCACCCCCACCCCCAGCCTCAGAGACAACCACACAGGCCGGCGTCGCAACCCCAGGGGAGCGGCACGCGTGTCCCCTGCTCTGCTATACCTTGAAGAAAATGTCACCCTCCCTCCTCCTCCGCCACATCCCCGATCACGTGGGGTCCATTGTTGTGCAAATGCCCGCAAGAAGCATTTCTTTGGGGTTAAATACTATTTTCAATTCGGTCTCCTTTGGAGCCCCTTGGCCTGGTCGCAGGAGGAGCTGCAGGGGTGACCGGCTACTTCCATTAGCACTTTGGGTCTTCATAGCGCAGGGTGGATGTTGTAGGGGGTTTTCTGCAACATCAACATCTCTATTTTAAGAATTCGTTCTCTTTTAAATTATAGTCAGAATGGATTTCCCCGCCCCTCTCCCAAACAAACCACAGGCCACCCAGATGAGCTCTTCTTGCACATTTTCAGGAAGAAAATAAAATAATAACAATAATGAGGGCGGTGGGGGCGGGGAAAGGAGGGCTTGGGGTCAAAATAAGGGGGTTGTAATTGTATGGGGAATATAAAAATAAAATTTAAATTAAAAAAATAAAAAAACAATAATGAAACCACGAAATACTTTGTTTTCGATTATTGTCCTAATAAGCATCTCCTAAGGGAGCTTCTGTCTGTGCTTATGTGGCACTCCCCCCCCCCAAAGAAACCTTTCAATATAAAAAAATAGAAGCTATAAAACTTCTATGGCACTTTTAAATTTCACTTCACCACTAAGATGCCTTTAGGAGAAACCCAGGAACGCAGATGAACTTGCCATGCCTATCTCCAATTCAGGATGTGAGCTAATTAAATCAGTTTCTAGTCTCTGTTGCATTGCCAACATAAAATGCTGTCACTTTATGGTTTTGACTTTCTCCTGGAAAGTCACCAATCATGAATCAATAATCAATGACTTCTGACCAGCCTACACTGAATCAGCAAGTTCTCTGGTGCTCACACGCTCTCTCTCTCTCTCTCCTTTCTCCACTCCCCCCCATCCCCTAGGTCCTTGCAGCCTGGACACAGCTGTGCACCTGAACCAAGACGCAGGAAGAATCCTACATTTTCCACCCCGTGCTTAAAGGGTGACTAGGACGAGAGCCCTGCAGGCGCTGAACATTGCTTGAAAGGACTCCGGAGCAGGAGGTGCAAGCAAAAGCTGCAGATTCAGGCGGCACTCGGGTGGGAGGACGCAGTCCCTCTAACTTCACAGCCATCGAGGCAAGTCACCAGTGTGAGTGTGGGGGGTGACCCTAAAGAAACCTTCTCTTCCGCTCTTCCTCATGTCATTTCCAATACGGTTGCAATTCCAATTTTGAATTGCCAACATTTAAAGCGCGGCCTATGTCCTACCTCGGAGTTCTAAAAGAATTGCTGTTTTATACTTCACCGCTGGCCTCCCTCTCGCCGCCCCCCATCGCTCTGGAATGGGCGCGGGGTACCGACTCCGCGACAAGCTGCCCCTCCAGACCCACCCCCAGCCAACGGTTTTCCTGCGGCGCCGGGTATCCGCAAACGCAACCGTCGCCACCCCGAGAAGGGGACAAGAGGGGCGGAGGCCGGGTGTTAGGGCGGCTTTCTGCCTCTCCTCGCGGCGCAGCGCGCTCCTCTCCCCGGCGAGGCCCGCGGCTGGGTGCTTGAGTTCAGCCTTCTGCGCGCCCCTGGCTTCCCCCAGGCCCTCCGCTGCGCCAGCCCACCCAGGCCCACCCCGAGCTCCCGCGGGGACCGCGCCGTGGAAATCCCAGGGCACCACCCTCTGCCTCTCCCCACTCTCTGCTGCTCGGCCCCAGGCCGCGACGCTACGGGCCTCCCGCCCGGTTCTGAGCCCGCCGACTCCCCAGCTCCTTACTCCCCACCCCTCAGCACCAAGAGAGCAGCAGGAAGCCCTGGGCTCGCCGGAGTTCAGGTCATCTCCTGTTTTTTTGATGGGCTCAAACTCGCTCTAAATGAGCGGATGTGCCTGCGAGATTGGTCTCAAAATAGAAGCGGCCTTAGTATTTTAGGATACTGCCGAAATCCTTATTTCTTCCGGAGAAAAACTCTATAATGACTCCTAGCACTTCCCCTTTCAATATTTGTGCAACTTTATCTCCCTCGACAAGTTGCTCGGGTGACGCAAATCCGCCCTTGTGTATTACAACTACCAAAATAAATGCGCGGAAATCAATTCCCTTCTAGCAATGAAAATATAAATATACAGCTGCGACTTTCCCCTTTAATCTTGGCTTTCCGAGCGGCTCCGGGCTGGGGCGAAATGAACTGGTCCAGAGCTATTGAGACAGGCGGGGCGGGGCGGGCCTGGGGGCAGAGGCGCGGACTCCGGGTCTGCGGCCGGGAGGTTCCAGGCTCCCGCAGCAGTGGAGGAGGCCTGGCCGAATCAACTGGAACCGAAATGTGCCTGCGCTGTCCTGGGAGGAAGCTCCGCAGTAAAGATGGGACCACCGCGGCCTATTTAGCTGCACAAGTTGCAAATGACACTAGAGCGATAGAGATTGTCATCTGTACTATCAGGTTCACGTTGTGGTTTGTTGTTTGTTTTGTTTTGTTTTCTGTTTCTGAAATGCCCCAATGTCAGGAATTTCTGCTCAATTCTTTCGACTGACTTTATGCAACTCTCCAATTGACTTCTGCTGCATAGACCCGGCCAAAAACTCTCTCTCCATCCTGGGAAGGGATGCCAGAGAAGGTTGGTTTTGTAATGTAACACTATGGTTTATGGGATTTAATGTTGAAGCAAGGGGTCTGAATCAGAGGGCTATGTCTTGACTGAAGCAAGAAATGGGTCCCATGCCCCAGTTGGAGGTCCTGGTCTACAGAGCCTCCATACTGAAATCAACAGCACGAATTCTTTTCCTATACCTGGAGGCACAGATACAGGGTGATTGAACATGAACGCTTAGAATGAATGTTGAGTTTTGCTTATTACAGTAACTTAACTCTGCAAGGTTTTAATATAAGCTTTCCAGCTCTGCTTTTCCTTTTTTGTTTCCAGACTTGGCAAAATAATGTGCAAGTTAGTTAGTTGCTCTATGGATTTGGGATTTCCCCCCTCCCTTTAATTTTTAATGTTCTTTCCAATATGGCACCTCCTGGGTTTAGAGAAAGAGATGGAAATAAGTAAATATTGCATCATAAAGAGAAGGAAGCCTAGTTTACCCAGCTGTTGGAGACTGCAGGACATGCAGCAGTGAAGGAAGCTGCTGTATTCTGCCTGCTGAGGATGTAGGGACTGCCCGACACATTTATGTGCAGGATTTGTGTTCCTCGTGGATGCCAGATACTAGAGTTTAGGGTTCTAAACATGCACGCGCACTCACACACACACACACCTACCTTGGATTATTCTAAGTGCACAACACCCTTTTTCAGAAGACCTTCTTATTCCAGAACTAAATACAGTTCCTGAATATTTTGAAGCTATTTAGACTTTGATGTGGGTGGGAAAGGCAAGTAACATGGTGATAGGAGCAGGGGGTGCAGAGCTACTTGATTCACTCCTTTTCCTTTGTTGCATTTCTCAGGTGTGGCAAACTTGCAGGTAGCCTTCTCTTCATGTGACCTTGGCCCTGCCCTTGAACTCTGGGCCAAAGATCTAGCTTCAAAGTCTCAGACAGCCCTTTGGGTCTGATGCCACTTGTCCTTTCCCCCAGTACAGGGATAACAACTTCTCTATCTATCTATCTCTCATGAACACACACACACACACACACACACTCCTACACTCACTGGGGGTCTTGGAGACTGCAGAGAAGGGCAGGGCAGGCACTTTGGCATTGTTTCTGTTGCAAAGACCTAGCCGTCTATCTCTCCAAGTCATCCTCTCCACTCTCAGTCAAGTAAAACCTCAGCTCTCATGAAACTGAATGATAGAATCTATTTCAACACAGTTCATTGGAACATGGACTCACATATTTGCAGTGAAATCATGTCCCCATAGGAGTAAAATACACTTAGCATGTCAGCAATTTAG